CCCCCCACCCGCACAAAAAAAATTTACTTTTTTTTAAAATTTAAATTTCTATTTTTTTCGTTTTTTCTGCCCCACCCCATCCCCCCTCCAAAAAAATATTTTTAAATATATTTTTCAGTTTTAATTTTTTTATTTATCGGTTTAAAGATTCAAAATTTTATAAGCTTCAAAATTATAAGTTCGGAGGTTTATGTGTTTGGAAGTTTACGGGTTCGAAATTCCGCGCTTTTGAAAGTTTAGCGGTTTGAAAGTTTATGAAATTTTCGGGTTCGGAAGGTTGTTGGTTTGAAAGTTTATGGCTTCATGTTTATTATATCTAAATTATTTATGAATACTCTTGAGAAGTCATTTTCTTTAATTTGCGTACCAAACACCGAAAAATGAATAAAAATTACTGCTTGTTTTTCAAGAAAACATTTTCTTGGAAAATATTTTCCACGGAAAACATTTTCCGTTATAACAAACACACCCTAAGTGTGAAAATTTACTAGAATTTCAAATCTCATCAATAATTCATGGGGTTTAAACCTTTATAAGTACAGATCTCAAGACCAATTCACAGAGGATGGATTCAATTTTTTTGCAATTTAAGAGTGAAAAATTATTGGAGTTTCTAAACTCCAGCATAAGATGATAAAGTTTTAAACTTTTCATTGGGTTTCTCACCCGATGATCGGTATCCGCTTTGGGGCCCGACTAAATTCAGATTCGCACTAAAAAATCCCACATTGGGGATACAACGCTCTCTAACAAAAGGCGATGGTGGTCAGGAAAAAAATAAGTTACGTTGCCTATATGAATCTTCAATGATTATATTACTCCATATAAATTCGTTCCGAACTAATATTATACAAAACAAAAATACTTTATGTTTTCTTCTGACTTTTGACATATAATAAGTGGTCAATCTATAAATATAAAAAAGTCGGGGGACTGACTTTAACATTTCTAAACCTCATGTGGCATAAACGGACATCTTTCATCTAATACACTGCTACGGTGAAGACCCGAACGACCCTTTTATGATTTCTTAAATTTCCCAAAATAAAATCCCTTTTTCCCCCATTCAGATCAAATTGAATCAATTGATTTAAGGTAAAATTTCCTAAGCTTGAATCTTAATTATATATTGAACGGTAATTCTACTTGCAATTTTAGTTCTTGAGGGATTTTGTATTATTTTCTATAATTTAATGGCCATAATAATCAGCTTTATTAAGGGATTTTTTTTCGTGCTGTTACTGTTTCTGTATACGGTTGAATGTTAGGCAGGATTTTTAGCATAATATTCAATATCATTTCTTATTTTGAAGTATATTTCTAGTTTCAAGTTTAGTTCTTGAGTTTTTTTGTATTGTTTTCAAGAGATTTAAAGGTGAAAACTTTTGGGCTTATTTAATGTGATATAACCTACCCGTTTATCAGCTTATTATGAGAATTTTTGGGTTCTCACTGATTTTATTTGTACTGTTTGTATTTTTTATCTTGAGCTTTATATGTATATTGGACTATAATTCTTACTTGCAAAACCCAGTTCTTTAGATTGTTTTCTAAGAATCTAAAGGAGAAAGCAACCTCCACTTCCAACCAAGAGGTTACTGTTCAGTCACCCCAAGAGCAAGGTGGGTAGTTCTTGGAGGGAAGGATACTGAGGGTCTGTCGGAAATAGCCTCTCTAACCCAGGGTAGGGGTAAGGTCTGCGTATACACTACCCTCCCCAGACCCAGTAGTGGAATTATACTGGGTTATTGTTGTTGTTATTGTTGTTGTATAATTCTACCAGCAAGTTTAGTTTTTGTGAGGTTTCTGTATTGTTATCAAGAATTCAAAGGTGAAATCTTTTGGGATCATTCTAAGTGAACAAGCTTTCTTGTCATCAGCTTTATTATGGGAATTTTCTAGGTTCTAATTGTTTTTTATATATACTTTCGTATTTTAGGTTATTCTGAGCTGTGAAGTGCTTGTTCTGATTATAAAGGAGTGAATAAGGATGCAGGTTCGTAACTTTTAAAAGCGATTTCTGTTATTATGAGGACAAAACATTACAATTATTACCGCATTTCTAATTAAAGAGTTGATTAGTTTCTGTTTATTCTTGGCTTGATCTGTGAATTTATTCGTCCTGTTCTGCTCATGGTTTGACGATCTTGATAATACCCAATGGTTCATTTTGGGTTTATTTTTAAGTAGGTTTTGGGTGTTTGAGTTTAGGTGTTTAAGTTTCTTCATCAATGCTGCAGAGCACAACTTTTATCATTTTGCGTTACATTTCATTGGTAAATTGGCAATTGATTGTGGGAAAAATTGATAGTTTTTGCAAAATTTTGTGATGCACATGGTTTGCAGTGTTATCAAAGGCAAAAAGCGCAAAAAATCTCTAACGTCTGTTGGGCTTTAAGTGCAAAACACAAATAAAGTGTGGGCTTTAATGAAAAAAAGAGCAAATGGAGAAAATATAGAAATATGTATGTGTAGTCTAAGATTAACAATTATAAGCATGAATAACAAATATGGATGGACAAAGAAATTGAAAATAAATTACGATAAAGTGAAATATGAATTGTTTAGTGTCGCCCCTCTAGGATTACGCTCATTGGAAAGGAAAAGTATGCCTATAGCCTTGACAACGACATTTAGGGGTGGGCATACAATCCGAAAAACCGAATTCCGAACCGGACCGAATTAATTCGGTATTTCGGTATCGGTTTATTCGGTGTTTCGGTATAATTCGGTATCAATTTTTCGGTATTTCGGTATTTCGGCACGGTCCTCGGTATTGAGGTTTCGATATTTCGGTATATCGAAATACCGAAATACAGAATTAAAGAATAACGAATGAGTCGTTCTTGCTGTGGAGAAGCGCATTACTTCACCACTTTTGGTTTGTAAACCTTGTTTTCTCTGGTATTTTTTAATTATTAGTATTATTTGGGGATGGTTATATAATAGTACTTCTATATGGTTTTGATGATTAGGTTCATGTTGTTGTGCATGAGCTGATTTTTATACTTCCCAGACTGTTATTGGCTGAGAAGTTTGAATTATTTAGCACCAGAACACCCATTAGAAGTGCTAGTAGAGCTTCACCTAATAAATTGAATTATGGATGTTGTGGAATATAGGATTGGGGATCTTCCTGATGATGAATAATAGTAATATTTTTATAACTTGCTTGGTTATGACTCAAATTTGTGTGCTTAAAAATAGAGAACCCGCTAATCCCCAGATATTTTGTTTTGGTGTATTCTTTATTCATGGCACAGTTTTGATATTCTTCTAGGAGCCAAGCAGTGTGGAGAAAATTATGGAAATTGACGAGCATATTGGATTCCTTTTGACTCTTCTTTCTGCTCAATGGAAGACATAATATGCAAATTGCCACTCATTCGCCGAATTACCAGTGGGCAGTGCTACAACTTGTCATATTAGATAGGGATGATGCGATACCGAAACCGTACCGAAGTCGTACCGAACCAAACAAGAAAATACCGAACCGTGCCGAACTACTTTGGTACGGTATTTGGTATGCATAATTGATATACCGAATACCGAAGTACCGAACCATAATTCATAAATACGTACCGAAGTACCGAATGCCCACCCCTAACGACATTGTAGTGCCTGTTAAGTGAGGTGAAGTGCTCTACATGTTTTGCACCTTGCTATAGGGCTTAAGTGTGCCTTTGACAACAACGATGGTTTGTGATAGCTTTCATGGAGTTGTAGTGCGAAGTGACTCGATGTAGTAGTGAATTGTGATCAGGTAACTTTTGGGCTGTGAGAATTGGTAATTAGTGAACAAAGAAATTTGTCTTGATGGAATGTTCATGGACATTATCATTGTAGGTTTGGACGCCATGAATCAAATAAGGATTAAGACGCTAACAGGTTTCCGTGGAATTATTCGAGGAGTGCACAAGCTTGGCCCTGACACCATGGTTATAAATAAAAATAAAAGAAGTCACCCCAATATGTAACTCACATAATTGTTAAAAGCCATTTTATTAGTTTTCAAACAGTATTTGTTTGATCATCATTTATAAACTTGGTGACCGGATTCTAGGATTCCACATTCTTACCTAAAGTGTTTACACTACGGAAAGAGGGGAAAAAGTTCCTAAGCCTCGCTTCTAGACAGATTTCTGATCTCTACATATGGGACGAGACATTCAAAGTCATAAAGCAGGCCGCAATAATGCAAAATGTCTTCTTAGATCATAAGCCCATTGTTCTAGAATGTGGGGAGTGGTAGCAGAATCATTCTTACTTTAAGTTTGAGAATATGTGGCTGCAAGTAGAAGGTTTTATGCAATACTGAAGGGTGATGTTAGGAGATGGAACAGGGAAGAGTTTCGTGGACTTGAAAAAAACAAATTTTCTGGAGGAGCTGACAGTTTTGGACCAAGCTGCTGACAATAGGCAGCTCATGCAGGATGAGAAAAATAGAAAAAAAGAGAGCTAATTGGAGCTGTAAAAATTAGCAAATGAAGAAGAAACTTCATGACGACAAAAGTCAAGGTGCTTGTGATTAAGGACGGATACAGAAATACTAAATACTTCAGAGAGTAGCATATTCAGACAAAGAAGTAATTCCATCAATAAACGGCTGGTAGAAGGTGTGTGAACAGAAGATACTGAAGAGATTAAGACATAAATTCTTAAATACTATCAGCGCTTAATATATGAAGATGAAAGAAATTGGCTTAAAAGGCCTTATGAGAAAGAGGAGGTTTTAGAAATCATAAAGCCGTGTGCTGCTGACAAGGCTTTTGGTCCGGACAGATATACCATAGCATTCTTCCAAAAAGCATAGTGTGTAATTGAGGAGCACATAATGGGATCTCTAAATCACTTCCATCATAGCTGCCGATTTTTGAAAGTAAGCAATGCTTTTTTTTATAGCTTTGATTCCAAAGAGGAAAGGTGCTATAGAACTTATGATTTCAGACCCATTAGCCTTATTGGAAGTGTTTACAAAATGATAGCAAAAATTCTGGCTGAAATGCTGAAAAGGGTGGGGTGGCAGTTCCTTTTTAACATCCTTCAACAATTGGGGTTCAGGGGAAGATGGCTTAACTGGTTAAGATTTTGTGCTACAACAGTGAGATATTCTATTTTGGTAAATGGTGAGCCTGTAGGGTTTTGTGCAAGGTGGGTGGTTTCTGTTTTTACTAGTAATGGAACCCGTTAGCAGAACGGCGGAGAAAGCAGTTCACCATCAATGGATTAAGTGATTCACTGTTGGTAGTAATGTAGGGGATGAGACAACAGTGTCCCATCTACATTTACAGTAAACGAGTATTATGAGAACTTGGTGTGCAGCAATAGTATAATTGGAGATTGGCCCTTGGGAATTAGTTTGGAGAACTAAAGCTCCTACTAAAGTGGCTTGCTTTAAATACATATATTCAGTTCATACTTTTACCAATCATAGTTCTTTGTAGCAAACTAGAACCGTGCAAGCAAGATGAGTTACATATTACATTAATGTTGCTTACAACTATAACATTAGAAAGCATTAATTAACTATAATATTAGAAAACATAGGCATTGAGAAATTGGCATTATTTGGTCTCTTCTCCCTACAATTATCTGCATCTTGGTAAATATTTTACTGTTGTATACCTTTGAAAATTTAAACTAAAATATTATATGCTGCGGCAGGCTTCAAGGGCAAGGCTTTTCAAAGAGTACAAAGAAGTACAGAGAGAGAAATCTGCTGATCCAGATATTCAATTAGTTTGTGATGATTCTAATATCTTTAAATGGACGGCTCTTATTAAAGTATGCTCCTTAATTGATTATGATCAACCTCTTTTTTCATGGTTAATTTCTTCCACCAAACCCCCCCAC